TCCTAAAGGATGAAAAGGCACTCAATTCACATTCTGTGATCAGCTGAAATAACACCTCAAATAACTGCATTCAGGCAATTTCTTTCTAATTGTTATAGGCCTAGTTTTTTTTTTTTTCCCTCTTCACTTAAATCCATTTCAATTCAGTTTGTTTGCAGTAAGTGTATCATTGGTTCATTCATTTATACAAATCATTGAAAACTTAATATGGTGAAATGAAGGAAGACAATAAACTACAACCACAATCTTCCGTAAACTGCACTTTCTAATGGTTATATTTATTGATCATATACATTTTTAGTGTTTCAGCATCCTCACATTAATATATCTACATCTAATCCATAGATCTATTAAACTCTCTTTTGCCTTTTGACCTCATCCCACATAAATGTTTCTGTGTGTGTTTGAGTTTGTTAAAACAACACCGCAGCTTGACATGGGAGCAGAAATGGGACTAAGCAGCCACGCTACGTCTACGTCTCTGTTAAATATAATCTTTAGAAAGTGCAGTTTAGTGAAGACTGTGATTGTAGTTTATTGTCTTCCTTCATTTCACCACCAAACTGCAGCTGCACTGATGAGCCTGAGGGCTGGTCGCTGTGAAGAGGAGCTACAGTGTCCTCATAATCCCCCAAATCAAAATCAAACCTAATGATCATCTCTGTATATTATCACATCAATCTAACACATCAAAACCCGTCAGACAGTCTCAGGGAGCTGTTAGCGGCTTGTATGAGCTACATTTATTTTGTTTGCGCACGAATCAGAAAAAAAAAGTTAAAAAGTAAACGAGAGAACAAATTAAGACATCGTGATTACGAATTTTAAAAAATGTACCCACGAAGTAAAGAAAACGTGCACGATTAAAACAAAGAGAGAGAGAATTGTTAATCATGGGAACGAATTGAGAAATCGTGACCACAAATAAAAGAAAACGTGCATACAAACTGCAGAAGTTCACTCCAATTAATTTTTATTTTTACCTCCGTCCCCTCCGGGGCTCCATAGTCCTTAAATGCACATATAACCAATATTACTAGAGTAGCTTTCCTCCATCTTCGCAATGTTGCCAAATTGAGAAACGCACTGTACAGGATGCAGAAAAACTACTTCATGCCTTTTTTACCTCAAGTCTGACTTACTGTAATGCTCTGCTGTTTGGATGTTCCAGCAAAAGCCTTTACAAGCTTCAGTTAGTCCAGAGCGCTGCAGTCAGAGTCCTCACAAGAACCTGAAAGTTTGATCATATCAGTCCTGCTTTATCGAACCTACACTGGTTGCCAGTTAAATTCCGCATTAATTACAAAATTCCTGTACTGACATATAAAGCTCTAAACAGTCTCAACCTCAGTACCTGAGTGAACTTCTCTCTTATTATGAACCGTAGTGCCTGCTTAGATCACAAGCTGCTGGCTTACTATTAGTACCTGTCTTTCTTATACATGTACAAATAAGCACTTGCTTATTATGTAATGGGCCCATAACAGTACTCCAGAAGTGATCCCTTTTTATAAGGTCGGCACCTGGTAGGACTTAAGCTCAGTTGGGAATCAATAAGACAAACTATCACAGAGGACAAAAGAGACATTCAGAGAAACAGGTTTGTATTTAGCATGGCAATATGTTAGCTCACATGCAGCCTATTAAATATATCTTATTATAAGATTAGCCACGTGACCCAAGGTCCTCTGGTCTGTCTGTCACTAGCCTCTATTTGGTAGACTGGTTCCATCTCCTACGTTATAATGAACTGATAAACATACAAATTAATTGTTCTTACATTTTTGTTACGAATCTTCAAATTAAATAATATTTATTCCGGTAATACCTGGTGTGTCTAACCAGATTAGACATTAGATTAGACATTTTTTCTCCATTTTATCAAAAACATGACTGCAGAACGCCAGAGAGAGAGAGAGAGAGAGAGAGAGAGAGAGAGAGAGAGAGTCCTCAGTGAGGAGGAGCGAATGGAACATAACGGCTAAAAACAAATAGTTAAAATAGTTTCTAATCCCTTGAACGATCCTTTAATTGTGGAAAGTAGAAGGGCATATTTCACTAAAAAAGCAAAGAACATTTACCTATATATTTCCATATTTCTGTGGCAAACAGGTTTTGGGCAGTAGGGTACTAGCATTACTGCTACTGAGTGTTAACTGTTGGAGAACGGAGCAGCTCATAGGCGGGAAGAGTGGAGCGGTTCGTGCTATCGGACGTCATTAACAAACTCGAGGCGCCGCAATATAGACCTCTAACTAGAGCTTAAAGCGCTTTAAAATATAACAACAGTGTTAAAATGTTTAATGCTGTTCAGGAAATGAATGCATTCGTCTATAAAAATGTTTAAGCATTTACAAACTAAGATTTCGCTCGAATTCTCCATATTAAGCTCTTCAATTTAGGACTCACTTTAGATCTATCGCCCTCTAGCGTTTGACAAACCCGGAAGACTTTACCGAGTGGCAGTTCTCCTCTCCCCACTGTCTCTGGATTAACCATAAGATAAACGAGCTGTCTGACGCTGCAGTTCACTGCGCTGGTGCTGATTCGCTGACTGAGAGAAAAAAACAGGTGACGTGAGACATTTGATTGGCCACTTTGTTTAGTAGCTGAAGGGGTTTGCCTAATTAGCTTTATGACTTATTATGAAGTTTACAAAAAACGGAGAATGTCAACAATTGCGATCGCAATCACACACACACAAAAAATGAAGTATGTATCAACTCAAAAAAACTAAAACAGATAACAAGACTCAGCACCACCTGTATTTCTTCACTCTTCATAACCTAATAGACGCAGACTTCTTTTTTTCCCTTTTGCAATGTATTCTTTGTTTAATACTTTCATTTACTTTGGGTTGTATTCAGTGATGACTTTCAAAATAAAACTGTATTTCTGGAAAGCTCATAGCTGTGAGTACCCCGAAGTCTGGACCTTGAAATTTTAATTTGAATATTGAAATTCATAATAGAAAAAAATCATATAAACTCTTGAATTATGTCCATAATCCAAAGGTTATGCATTATTTCTGACACCAAACTGCACCATACACAGTTAATTTTAGTGCCCTATGTAATGTGGTTGAAATGCTATTGAAATTAAAAATGCATCCGAAATAGTATTTGTTATTACATTACATTTAAAATCCAGAAGTTGTTTCTGTGTGCTTTTGAAGGCTATCTTCAACATACACAGTTGTTTTTAATGTTTATATTGCAGCTTAAATGCTATAGAATTTCATAGTGGAATGGAATGGAAGTAATGACAATGCATAATTGCGTGTCATCAGCTTAGCTATGAAAACTGCTATCATGTTTCCTAATGACACCAAGACTTGACTTTACTGGCACCTACCAGTACTATACACAGTTAACTGCAGTGATGTATGTAATGATGTCCGCTGATCATTTGTAATTTGGTTGAAATTCTATTGAAATTCAAAATGGAAAAAAAATATATATGAAGTAGTTATTTCATCATTTTTTAAATCCAAAGTTTATGCCTCATTGCTGACACCTAGCTGTGCCTTATAATCCTGCATATCATATGTTTTTGATATGCTATAAAAATTCAAAATGGAAAAATATTGTAAAGTTGATATTGCACTACTTATAAAAAAAAAGGTCGTGCATTATTACTTCCACTTAGCTGTGCCCTTTACAGTGGATTCTAGTGTTAACCCATTAATCATTAACTGCCACATACACAGTTGATTTTATTCTTGTACATCATGCAACTGAAATGTTAATGAAATTTAAAATGTAAAATATGATTGTAATGTAGGTATACATTACAGCTATTGTATTACATCTAAAATCTAAGTGCTGCATCATTACTGGCACCAAGCTACACAGTTTATCACAGTGTTGTGTGGAATGTTAGTAAAACACAATTGAAATTGATTATAAATAAAAGTTTATGTCAAGAAAGGGCATAAAATTCTCAGGCTGTATTTGGGTTCGGACCTAAATTTCAGGCCTGATTAAAGCTCTAGTTGAGATGCAAAACCTTTTTCTTCTCTTCAACTTTTTTGGACATCCTGTCACAATAAGGTCACCACATTTAAGAACTGCGAGATTTCATGTTGCTGTTTTATAGATATATTGCTGGTCAGCTGCTTTTGTACAGTGTAAAAAAATACTTTGCATGTATTTCCCTGGTTGTGAACTTGAGTGGATGGAGAGAGGTGGGTTACAATTTGACCTGTATTTGGTTACCATTGAAGGAAACCTGTAATAGTCAAATCATATGTCTTTTTCAATTCTTGTTTTAACTTGGTAGGATTTGCACGTTGAGACAAGCTGTGGGTATTGAAAACTCTATGCTACTACTAGTGTGTTGACTTAGTCCATAGAAAAGTCTCATACATTTCACAGGTGATTTTGTCGTGTCTCAAAGACACGTTAACAAGTAAACAGACTTGTAATGAGAGTGATATGTAAACAAGTGATATCCTGAAAATGCACAAGTGGAAAGGTGGAAATGAAATAAACTGAAAAAGTGATTATTTTCAAGTGAGTTATATGATTTTCCTGTAGCTTAAAGGAAAGAAAGAGATGAAATACGTACCACGTATGGAGCAAAAAAGTCCAATTGAAAAGCTTCTAATATTTGTGAAAACACTATTTTCAATTAGATTTTTCTCTCTTTCTTCCCGGCGAATCTTTTACAGCTTCAGCTTTGGTGGCATAAACTTACCTTTTTGAATAAATAAAAGCAGTTTCAAAACTAATTCCTTGTTCCTCGGCTTTTTATTTCCACTTGACACTGTATTATGTGCCCACTGTAATATCTGTAACGAGTGTCTCTGGATCAGAAACTTGTGTGTGAGCGCCTGAGCGTCAGCGCCGAGTTCTGTTTGTGGGCGGAGTTATCTGTTAGTGGAGGCGGGATCAGAACGTGAGGGACACGACCGTGGTCCAATCACAGGTTACTAAGCGGAACTATTTGTTTATATCAGGGTGGTACATTCGCCCAAGCCATTCCACACGTTTGTTTTGGAGACTGAACACGCACGCGATCAGATTTCGGGAACATGAGGACCGAGGACGGTTTCGCTCGCAGTTCGTAACAGTTTCTCCTTCAGAGGGAAGATGTGCTTTATGAACATTCAGGAATATTCATCAGACCACCGTAAGCAGATCTCTGCGAGGGACGAATATCAGAATACGTGACAGTTGAAGCTGCGTGCTGAAGATGGAGGCTGTGGCAGGTTCTCCGAGGACGGCTATGCAGCGCTTCGGCCACGGCGGCATGATGCTCCTGCCGTGGACCAAGCAGATTCTGGCGGTGGTGTGGGAGCATTTCCGCCTGCTGCTGCAGGTCATCTGCTACAGTCTGATGGCAGGTAAGCGAGAGCTGTACTGTTGAGCTTTTCAGTCTGAGACTCCTAGCATGAGACGTTAAAAATGTGTTTGAACTTTTCTGAATTCGAGTGCTAATTCTTTTGCTTATAGGTTTTTCTGCAATTGCGGGCAGTTTTCATTTTTTTTAATCTATGTTCATATTTTGCATGAAGTATAGAGCACATCATCACTGTCATTAAAAGTCCTCTTTTACATACAAAATAGTAATGAGTTGATGTCATTTTAGGTACACCAGTTTTTTATATACCAAGTCCCACACCTATGATTCCTTTTCAACTGCATAAAAGGAATTACTAAAATGCAAAACTTTCATTTGAAAGTGCATTGTATAAATATTAAATCAAAACATATTTAAACAAATGCTTCTGTTGATCAGTGATGTCATTTATTTACAGAAATATGTCTGTCCCACATTTGTATGTTCTTACAGTAGTACTGACCAACATATTATGTTATATTCATAATATTAATGCTAAGTTCAAATAAATGAGGAGTTATCTCAAAACCAATATAACAGAATGTGCTGATTGTCATTTATACTCAAAACCAGGGAAAATGTCTTTATTGTGGTGTCCTTCCAGCAATAGCTCAGTGTTAAAAAGGGAAATTCAGTTCAGATGATTACTTTTAATTATATGCAATTTTGTAGAGCTCATTTGTATTACAGACTCTGATACTCAAAGTTCTTTTCATTTAAAGTCCATTTTCTAAACTTCGGACAGCCAAAAGTGCTTGTAGTAGCAGAAACGCCCTCATATGGAAGGATGTTATTTTGCTCATTTCCATTTTCTGCTGTCTTACATCATTTCTTTGGTTTCCAGTGTTTCAGATGTTTAGGTTTGAGGTTCATGTGAGAATCACGGATGATGCAGGGGAGCACATTCAGCACATTAGCAGTTCATCCAGAGATGCCCCTGATGGTTTCCTTCTGTCATCCTTGTTCGAAAACAACAAAAGTGGGGATCCTTTCGACTTGGACTCTCACTCTCGCTCTGTTCTGTCCAGCCTGGTGAACGACGAGCTCTGTTGCTCTTTGGTGGATGACTTTGTGTCCCGTGCGACAGAGTGTCTCTCAGACAGTGAGGAGCTTTACATAGGAGAGCCCTGCAGCTGGAAACACAGCTGGAATGTGCTTACGGGTTCTGAAGGCGCGTACAAAGATGACCTTTGCCCCGTTGCTTTTACTGCTTGTGTGTCGAGTCTTTATCAGAAGGACTTTCAAAAGCAGGATGATCTTTTGGCAGGACTCGAGCGAAGTTTATCTAGTTCTTCTACAGACAGCAGCCACAGGCCTTGTCAGCAAGAGTCAGGAGGCCAGAGTTCAGACAGTGAGGTCAGCTGGGGTGGCTCCGACAGCTCCTGTGTGGAGGTGGACAAAGAGGACAACGACAGACTTTGGGACCTTCTTACCAAGTCCACTGATCCATACCATCCTCTGCATTTCACAGCATGTGTGTCCAGTGCAGTTACTGACCAACGGAGAGCACAAGAAAGCTCCAGCACTGGTCAAGAAAAGCATATGTCTTCAGCATGCCAGTCCAGTGCATCTCTGAGCTCGGACACTAGCGAGCAAGGAAGTACTGGAACTGTCTCATCAGAAGATGAAGAGGATTCCTTGTGGAAGTCTCTGTCCCTGAACGATGACCCATATCACCCTTTGAATTTCAGAGCTCCTCTTCACAGCCGAGCAGCCTGCAGCACACACGAGCGTAATGGGAACCTGGACCATGCTGTAGGTTCACCTGACAACTGTAAGCAAAGCCTTAAAACATCCAGAGACTCAGCAGATACTACATGCAAAAAGCCACTTTTGCCAACAAGACGAGTAGTCAGTCACAAATGCCCTCAGCTGTCTCTGGAGAAACCTTCTAAAGTGCCCTGGAAAAGGCTTCTAAAGAAGACAGCTGAGAGTAGCACGAAGAAGGAGATTCTTATGGTGAAAAGGGTAATTATCAGTTAGCCTTTATCTAAAATCTGTCTCAAAACTGCACTTGAGATACCCATTTCCTATGTTTGTGTAATGACTAACAGGAAATCAAAATGTTGTTCCAGCTCTTGTACATAGACACATTATGACAGTAGATTGGAATAATAGATTTGTACTGTTTATGATATCAGATTAAGAATCACCTGTTATTTTTACTAATACTTTAACTTCTGCAAATGACTTCTTAAGAATGTTAACATTGGCTAATTACAAGCACACACATTAGGATATTGAGTGGTATACTATCTAAATTATTAGTTATACTGACATTTACAACTACTTTTGTAATTATCGGCTTATTATTTATGGCTTTACAAACTGTTATTTCTTTTTATTTATAGACTCTATGTATGTTGACTCTCTCAATCATGTCCCCCCCCAGGTTAAATTCTCTCCCATTGTGCAAGTTCACAAGATGCGAGCCTGGTCCTTTGCCCTTCAGGCATCTCGTAAGGGGCCATGGGAGGAGCACGCCCGAGATAGGGATCGATTCCAGAGGAGAATTTTGGAAACTGAGCAGGCCATTGGATACTGTTTTAGCCTGTCGCATAGGAAAAAGCTTGCAGCCTATCAACAAAACACACTGACCAAATAAGCACTCATAGAATTGCTTATATCCAGACTTTAAACTGACTGAGATGCTGGGCTGTGTAGTTTTCTTGGCCAGCCAGTAATCTTTTTCCAACTTAACAGCCATACCTCAGCTGTGTGTTCAAAACACATTTTCCAACCTCATATGTCATCAGAATGTTTTTTGGGTTTGTTTTGTTTTGTTTTGTTTTTTTCTGTGCCTTACTGACCATCAATGGAAATGACACTGTTAATGGGACAGCTGGTTTAATCATGATGATAGATGATATTTATAGTAGATTTTGTTGTTTTTAAGTTGTGAGGAATATGATATTGAAGAAAAATTGCTAACATTTGTGTTTGTGGAGAAAAAAAAAGTGAAATAAAGTAGTTTGTGCAAAACAAGCACTCATTTTCAACCTACATTCTGTATTTTCTGTGTTTGGTCACTTTGGTCACTTTTAGAAGCTACGCTTTTTCTCTTGCAAATATTTGCATGTTTCTCAGTTTTGCATTGAGGACTGATTTCTCCTTCAAGAGGACTTGGTATAAGAGAGAGGGTTAAAAACAAGGCATGATGAAACTCTCTCCCTTGAGGAGAAATCAATTAGCATCTCCCCTAGACACATCACTGGTAGCACAAACTGTATGGTGTAAAGAGGAGCAATGATGTACGCAATCTTTACAGCTGATTGTGACACCAGATTTGTAGCTTGACTAAGCCAGTGACCCTTTGTGGAAGAGCTGTATACAAGTTCTCAGCGAGTTCTCGAACAAACAGGCTTTACCTTAAGGCAAAAGAGGTGAACCAGTCTGTCCACTGGCTTTGTTTACACAACTGTAACATAATCTGTTGTTGTTGATTGACAGAGCACCATATGGACAGATCATTGTGTCTGTCTGTGTGTGTGTGGGTGAATGCTGCAGAGTGTCTTTCCATCTCCTAGGGCAGCCAGGGCTCTGGTGCACCTGGTAGCCAGGCAACAGAGCAGCGCGTTTGGTGGCTGTGAAAGGATTGCAAGGGATTGCAGCAGGGCTGGGTGTGTTGTGGGAGGGCAGCCAACATGGCCCCTGCCTCTATTACTCATCCTGAAGAGTTCTGAACCTGAGGGGAGGGGGGGAGTTGTGGTAGTGGGGGGATCTCTGGAGTCTCAATTACCCTGCACACACTGCCTGATGCAATAAGACAGTCAGCAGCCTTTGTGAGTGAAACACAAAGGCAGCACAGGTAAACTCACACATCCCCTCTGGGCCCATAGTGGGCACAGCTTCTCTGATTCTCATCGTTCAGTGAGATGATTTAAATCGTTCATTGAGATGAGTCACCTTGTCAATCTGTAATCATAGAGCAGTGAATGCTGTGATTTTGGCTATACTTAACTATCTTGAGTGTAGTTAAGGCTTCTGATTCCTTTGTTTTGATTTTTTTTTAATAGTCAAACTATCAGGCCTACATATGGTATACCATGCAGAAATCCAAGACCACGCTTTAATGTATTTTATGTCCAGTCAAAACATTATTCATTTTCAGCATCAGCAAAAAAGCGGAAAACATATATTTAACAGAAAATTACAGAGAAGCATCAACAATTAAATATAATTTTAATATTTTCAGTATTTAGTGTCCATCCTTTGCTTTTACTACAGATTATATTCTTTTCTGGAGGCTTGCTCTCAGTTTTTCAAAGAAACCTGCATGGATATTCTTCCACACCTACAAAGTTCGGAAAATCGGTTGCATTTTGTGCTTCTGTCGATCCAAGTAGTACCAAACATATTCAATGATGTTAAGGTCTGGCCTCTGGGGTGCCCAGTACATTTTTCTGAGAACCAGCATCTTTCTTTCTGATCTTCTCAGAAGTTGGGGTTATCTTCCTGTAGAATTAATGTCTTTCCAATCAAGCATGTTCTAGAGGGTACTGCATGATGTATTAAAATTTGTTAGTACCCATAAGCATTCTTGATGTCTTCAATCAAAAATGAATTCCCAACTATAGATGTTGTTATACATTCCCAAACTTGCACTGGTCTTCCTCCATACATGACTGATGGTTGTAGAAATGGTTTGAAGGGTCTTTCATTGCTATAGTGACGTCTGTACTTCCTTCTGTTACTTCCAAAGATCTCAACTTTAGACTCATCAGTACATAAAATCTTAATCCACATCTTAGTTGTCCTTTCCTTTTCTCGGGAACAGCTTTTTTAACATCTACCCATCCTTTCAGACCCATAGCCTTCTCACAGGTGTTAGATGTTAGTCCCATTTATTTTTGGATTTGGGTAGTTGTATATTATTAGTTAGGAGGAATGTTTGAGCCTGTTTACACCTTGTGTTAGCATGTGTTTAATGGCTAGTTATATCTGAATATACTTTGGTCAGATTCCATTTACACTTTTCATTAAAATGTGTCCAGAGCAGATCAGATAAAAACATCTTCCCACATAAAAACATCAACGCATAAGTTTCATTTTACTTTTGTTTACTATTTTCCCTATTACAATACAAGCAAGCTTGTCCTGGACACTTTCATCAGCCTGGAGTGCATGAAGGCTCTTGGTTTAGGGGTAACTTCAGCCTTGCGTATCCTCCATATTTAATTTCATTGTTTATTCTCTTACCTGCTAGTCAGCACTCAGCAGATGCATTTCCGCTCACACAACTTCACCAGCTGGACACCTATAGGAGCTTTTATGACCACATTCTAAATCCATAGGCATTAATATGATGAATATTAATATAACAGCTTCCACTCTTCTGGGAAGCTTTCTACAAGATTTTGAAATGAGTCTGTGGGAATTTTTGCCCATTCGTCCAAAAGACCAGATGTGAGGTCAGACACTGATGTTGGACGAGAGGGCCTGGCTCGCAATCTTCATTCTAGTTTATCCTAAAGGTGTTTGATGAGGTTGAGGTCAGGGCTCTGTGCAGGCTAGTCAAGTTCTACCACACCAAACTCACCCAAACATGCCTTTATGGACCTTGCTTTGTGCACTGGGGCTCAGTCATGCTGGAACAGAAAAGGGTCTTCCTCAAACTGTTCCCAAAAAGTTGGAAGCATACAGTTGTCCAAAATGTCTTGGTCTGCTGAAGCATTAAGATTTCCCTTCACTGGAACTAAGGGGCCTAGGCCAAGCCCTGAAAAACAACCCCATAGCATTATCCCTCCTCCACCAAACTTTACAGTTGGCGCAATTCACAAGTCAGGCAGGTAATGTTCTCCTGGCATTTGCCAAACCCCAGACTCGTCCATCAGACTGCCAGATAGAGAAGCGTGATTCATCGCACCACAGAATACGTTTCCACTGGTCCAGAGTCCAGTGACGTTGTGCTTCACACCACTCCATCCAACACTTGGCATTGTGCTTGATGATGTAACGCTTGCATGCAGCTGCTTGGCCATGGAAACCCATGCCATGAAGCTCTGAGTGCACAGTTTTGTGCTGATGTTAATGCCAGAGGAGGTTTGGAACTCTGCAGTTACTGAGTCAGCAGAACATTGGTGACTTTTATGCACTATGCACCTGAGAGCTCTGGTTGCTGTGGTTCCTAAATACTTTTCGATAATACCACTTACAGTTGATCGTGGAATATGTAGGAGAGAAGAAATTCCGTCAACTGATTTGTTGAAAATTTCATATAGCTGAATTTAATATTGTTATATTGATATGTTGTTTTATGTTTATACACATTGTAGAACACATATAATATGATTTTATTATATTACATATTATAAAAAACATGTATAACGTTTATAAACATATGTTTTCTGCTTTTTTCTGGCAATGAAATATTTTATGACTGGAAACTCAATAAATGAAAGGGTGGTCTCTGATTTTTCAAGTACTTTTTGTCTTTGTAGTTCTTGGGTCTACCTATTGGGTGTTGCCAACAGTCTAGAGTGTGCACAGGCCAACATGCTGACTGTTGTCTGCCAGGCTTGTGTGTCATCACAAAGAGACCAATGATAAGGAACAAAAGGATGTGTCAATCTGTAAAGGGTTGGTGTGGTTGTATGTTTTTATTGCCAAAAAAAGCAGGAAAAAGCAGGATAACACATGATCAGTTGTTTGAAGACTGAGACCTAATTGATCAAACAAGTGTGATTACATGCACTGAAATGAAAACTTGCAGCTACACCAGTCCTTTGTGGGCAAGATGAGTACATTGTCAGTTAGTACCTAGTCCATTGTCATCTTTTGCCAAGTTTACACTAATTAGTAGTTTTCATTTTACCAGACGTTCAGTTCTTTTAGTTTCTGTTTAGGCAGTAAGCTGTAGTGATAACACCAAGTTTGATTTTCTACTTTGTGAAATAATGGATAAAAAAGCTTTTCACCAAATTATTTGAGCATCACTATAAAAAAATATAATCTAACTGTGATGCCATTGCTCAGAAAAAAATCTATGTGTTTCCTTAGAGAACAGTTATTACATTTGCATCTCAAGCAGTGCTTTAAATCAGGCATCATTGTCCTGCTGGAGAAGAGAGTCACATTTAATTCTTACACATCCCAGATCCATTTTGCTACATATCCTAACAAGGTTCCCAGAACTTTTTATAAGCAAGACCACAGATCCACCACCATACTTAAAGGCAGGGACAATATATTTCTGCATGAATGTCTGCTTTCTGTACTAAATCTGTCTCTTTAGTGATGTTAGCCAAAGTGCTCTATATTGGGCTTATCTGGCCCACTGAATTATAGTGTTGTTTTACAAACACCATGATGGTTAACTCAGCAGGAATGTACACAATATACTCCCCTCAATGTGTGCTTTAAGTAGAGGCGTATTATCAAATTGAGTTATTCACTTAATGAATCTACATCATAGAGGCCTGGTTACCTGAAAATCCAACCATTATCTGCACTTCTCCAATTGCCTGGAGAATGCTTGGAGAATGATTTTTGCGTGTCTCTGAAACTGTCCTTTACTTTCTTTATGTACACTCTCAGAAAAAAGGCATGAAACTGTCACTGGGGCAGTACCCCTCTTGTCAATGGGGTGATACCCTCAAGGGTACATCTCAGAACCTTTAGTCAGGGAACATATTTGTACCATAATCTTTTGAAAATGTTATTTTCTAAGTTGTATTGACTCCACACACCCCGTCTCGTCTCCAGCCTTTTTATTTTATTGTTCTGTTTTAAAACATTAGGTTGTCAAAATATACAGATACATACTTTTCCACTGGGAAAAAACTTATTTAACCCTTGT